ACCTGGACGCGTCCCCTGTGGAGTTCCCCCTTAGCTTGAGGGCTGCGACACGGGTGCGACACACGCGCGACACACGCGAACGCTTCGCGGACCTTCGCGAACGCTTGCGGACGCTTTAACAACGATCGCGGGTCAACGATTGGACCCCTGGACCCCTACCTTTAAAACGAGAACCCTTCTGCTACGCATTCGGGAAAAACTGCGAGGGTCTATATGAGGGTCTAAGATTATCAGGATGTTGGGGAAAGCTTGGGGGTTTTCGGGTTTTCGGCTTTGATGCCTGGGTTTAGGGATGGGGGGGTCCTCAAGGAATCCATGCATGGAACCTGAGCATTGCGCTCATTCCGAAAGATGCAATTTCAGAGCCTTAACAATCCCAAAGTCCTATAGAACCCCCAACCCAACGACCCAAAGCCCCCAAAACACCCGAAAACTATGCTTCGAGGCTACTTTCCACTGCTAACCAAGTCGCCAGATCACAGCTGGCAATTTGTGTGCTGTGTGCTTCCCTGAGAGCTCAGCACCGTTCAACTCAGGAGCATTTTAGTAGCTGAAGCTGAGTAGCGAACCTTTACCCTTTTGGGGCTTTCAGAATCTTACCATTATTGAAAAGGGCAACCTGTTTTGGGATAGGGTACTCAGCCTTCAAGGTATTCCGTGAATCCTATTTGACACATTCCGTTTGCATTCAATTTGTCTATGAGTGGTTATTGCAAAGGGACTAGTGTGACTCGTGTGACTAGTATAAGCCCAGAAAAGTAGGGTCCTTTACTGTAAGGGCACTCGTACAACGTAACCCTCATATCAGCTCCTACTGACAAGCTCTGTACAGCCCTGAATCTCTAGGAATCAGATGAACCTCCACAGAAACGCTCAACACCATCACCAAGCCTGTGTAGAAAAAACCCTGCAATACCCTTCTCAAGCCCTCACGAAGCCGTATCAAACCACTTATCAACCCTTACAAGAACCCTGCTACAGTTCTTTCAAGACGCTGCGACTCCCATCTCGACCCCGACACCCTAAGCCCTAAACCCTAAAACCCTAAAACCGTGAACCCCTAAACCCTAGACCCCTAAACCCCTAAACCCTCCACCGTGGGAGGGCCCGATGGACGGGGTGCCGGACCTACCTCACAGGACCGGATGCAGGCAAGGGTTTAGGGTTCAGGGTTTAGGGTCTGGGGTTTAGAGTTTGGGGTCTAGGGTTTAGGGTTTAGGGTCTAGGGTCTAGGGTTTAGGGTTTAGGGTTTAGGTTCTAGGGTTTAGGGTTTAGGGTTTAGGTGTTTGAGGGGCTGTGTTAAGGGTCTTTAGGGGCTCACGGGTTTAGGGTGTACATAGATTTCTGCTTCGTTCATGCAAGCATTTTGTAGGGTTTCTTGCAAGCTTTCTCAAGGTTTCATAGTTGTAGTTGGGTTTGCAACTGTTGCCCCACATTGCATGGGTTTTGGGGTTGGTGTTGTTTAGGAAACTAGGTTTTAGGATTCGGTATTGAGGGTTGGGAATGGGGATGTTTGAGGCGAATTATGAGGTTAAGGGTTGTTTAGGTTTCGGGGTTTACGGTCTGGGAGGGAGGCTTACATGTTAGGGTTTAGGGTTTAGAGTTTAGGCTTACCAACACTAGTGCTGAGGGTGGAAGCTACCATTTTCGGTGCGGCGTCAACAGGCAGCCAGGATCTTGGGACGTGCTTGAGGATTCCTTATTGTCACCATAGTAAAATATACGCCCAAACCCTGTTCTCATTATTATGGCCGCCCTACAATAAACCCTAAACCCTAAAACTGCCTAAAGCCCTCAGTACAGAAATGTTGAAGAAGCGTTACAACCCCCATAGCACCCTAGCCTAATTTAATTTTCAAGCCCCAAACCCTAAACCCTTAAACCCCTAAACCCCTAAACCCTAACCCCGCCTAAGCCCTAAACCCTAAACCCTGAACCCTAAAACACCTAAACCCTAAGACCCTATAAACCCTAAACCCAGAAACCCAGAAACCCTAAACCCTAAACCCCAAACCCCCATAAACCCTTAACCCTGAACTCTCCAACCCTAAACCCCCAAAAACCTAAACCCAAAAACCCTAAACCCTAAACCCCCATAAACCCTAAACCCTAAACTCTCTAACCCTAAACCGCCATAAACCTAGGCCCTAAACCCCAAACCCTGAACCCAATACATTCTTAGAGTCTTTCGGCTTCAGGACCTGAGGTTTCTGACTACCGGCTCAAGGGCTTTCGGAGAGTGTTTGGGTTTAGGGGTTTAGGGTGTTAGGGTTTTTTTTTGGGTTAAGGGTTTATGGGAGGTTTAGGGGTTTAGGGGTTTAGGGAGTCCTAGGGTTTAGGGTTCAGGGTTTAGGCGAGGATTTGGGGTTTCAGGGCTCTGGGTGTTGTAAGGCTTTGAGGCGTTTGGGTTTGGAGGCTTCGGTGAGGAATTGGAGAATTTTATAGAAATTATAGAAGTTTGAAGAATTTGTGGTACTATACCCCGACAAAACCTGTTGAAATTGTTAAGGCCGCTGTACTGCTTGGGTGCAAGTTCTCAGGCTGGAACTACTTCGATATGCTTTGCCTCACCTGTGCTTACACGGACCTGCTCATCACCGGGGTGCTTCAGCAGCGTGGCAGCATGACAGGGAAGGGAATGGACTGTGCTGCATCGGAAAGGGATCGTCGGTTCAGCGTTTTTAGCGCTTGGGGGAGCCCTAAACCTAAAAGCTCAAGGGCTTGAGGAAGCCATAAACCCTATAAACCCGATAAACCCTATAAACCCTATAAACCCTAAACCCCGATTTAAGCTGTAAAGCTCAAGCCAGAAACCAGAATGCCGGTACCCTCTGCTCTGATCCCGGTCTCCGCCAGGAATCTAGTCTGCTGTTAGAGTGGTGATGGGTATGCGAGGAGGACGTGGCTGGAGTTACCACGTTTGAACATAACAAGATATAAAGCAACACATGTATATCCGTGTGTATATATATATATAATATGTATGCATATCTGCCTATATTTCTTAGTATTCATTAACATTGAAGTAAGTAACCTGAGTGAATCCATAAAGCCTCTTATGAGCGGCACAAAACCCTCATAAAGCACAGTGACATAAGAGTCTGCGTAATTAGTGATTCTATTCCCCTGCAGACTCCCTCTAAATTTGCATTCAAACGTCACTAGACAAAATCTGTTCTGTTTAGGAAGGCCTAATTGCTTGCATTAGACTTTTTGCAAGCCTTTCTAAGCCTCTCATGAGTCCTGCCTGGTGAACCCCTTCATTCAAAGGACCTTTTTTGAGCTGAAGCTTCCTGGAAACCTTTTCTAGGACATTTTCAGGTGGGTAGTTACCGTTGGGAGCCGTGTAGAAGGTCTGTATACCTCATAGGAGCCTTATAGAAGCCCTATATACCCTAAACTCCCCACCTGTAGTTTCCTTTTACCTTTGAGTGTCCCACCGCGGTTTCGCGTTTAAGGGCGCGCAGGTTTAGGGGTTGAAGGTTTAGGAATTACGGGATTAGAAGGGCTTCAGTTGAACCCGTAATCCTTGAACCCCCAAACCCTCAAACCCTCGACCCTAACACTGCACCCCTAAAGCCGCAAACCCGTAAACCCTGAACCCCACAGCCCCTGAACCGTAAGATTAGGGTACCCGAAGCCCTAAAGCCCCTAAACCCCCTAAACCCCTAAACCCTTAAACCCCTAAACCCTAAACCCTCTAAACCCCTAAACACACCCTAAACCCTTGAACCCCCTAAATACCCTGAAAAAACCCCTTTAAACCCCTAAACCCCCTAAAAACCCCTAAAAACACCTTTATTTAAACCCCTAAACCCTTTTGGGTTCCCACTTCCTGCCGTTCCCGAGGGCCACAGCAGAAGATGATGCGCCGGCCCTCGCGTGGATCTCGGGTCCACGGTTTTATGGGGCCTTTAGGGGGTTTCGGGGTTTGAGGGCTTTTGGTGTTTAGGGTTTTAGGGCCTTTTGGGCTTTTAGGGTTTTAGGGGTTTAAGGGCCCCTTTAGGGTTTAGGGTTTTGGGGTCTATAGGGCCTTTAGGGGTTTAGGGTTTTAAGGGTTTAGGGTTTTAGGGTTTATGGGTTATGGGTTTATGGGGGTTTAGGTTTTGCAGGTTTAGGGTTTTAGGGTCTATGGGTTATGGGTTTAGGAGGGTTTAGGGTTTGTAGGTTTAGGGGTTTACGAGTTTAGGGTGAAGCGGTCGATCTTGGGAATGAAGGATCTTAGACTTTAGGCGTCGTTTTCAGCAAGATCTTACAATTGATCTATCGATCTATCTATCTATCTATCTATCTATCTATCTGTCTATCTGTATGTGTATATATATATATGCAAAGGTTAATATGCAATATTAACTATGCATGTGTATGTATGTATGTATGTATGTATGTATGTATGTATGTATAGGGCTCAGAACACGCCGTGAGGAGGCGATTGCTGAGGCCCCAGCACCCGACTGTGGTGCGCTCCTGCTAGGTTTTCGAGCCATTGCGGCGTCGCCTAGCTGGCACAGGCGGAAGCGCTCCAAGAGAGCGAAGGCCCGCCGCTTTCTACGCGAGGGCCACCCACTTGGCCGTGCCCAGCTTCGCTTGCTGGCCACCCATCACGGTACAGCCCCTCACACGAGGCACTCCCTCTGGAGGGTTTACATGGGACGCGGCGGCCGCAACGCAGGCCAACAGCCATGGGCCGGTGGTGGCAATACATTCAGAGTCTGGCCTGGTGCATACTCTCCTCAGGGGCCAGCAACCCGGGACCGCAAGCCGCCGTGGAAGGCGGATGGTCGTGCTCCGACGGACTTCCCGGCCTATTCCTCCATGCAGCTCCCACCGGACCGTTCTGCACCTACGGGGTCCGCAGTGACAGCTATGGAGGCACCCGGCACGATGAACACCAACTCTATCCAGAATGCGCTCAATATTACTCGCAAGGCAGAGACAAGGCTGAGCCGCCTGCGGACGGCATATCAGGAAATTGGGGCCAAGATGACTGGCTACGAGCAGAAGCTGAAGGAAGCCCTGCGCAGGGAACGCGCCCGTTTTGCCCGGGACCAAGAGCGTCTTCTTCGCGACATTGCCGAAGCCGAAGCGGCGCAGGAAACTGCGCGTATTGGGCTTCGAGCGGCCTTTGCAGAGGAAAGGTCCGCTGCTATTGGTGGCTTCGATGTGGATATGGGGGACCAAGACGTCGACCGCCTTTTTGCGGAGTGGGCCAGAGAAGACAGCCCGGCGATGGACGGTGTCCTGAGGAGGGCTCTCGCTCCGCCTCCTGCAAGTGGGAATCCTGGCAGCTTTATGACACCTACGCGTACTACTGCTGCTGCACCCCCCCGTACACCTCCAGCCACTGCAGATCCATACCTGGGCGCTCCTTCGCCCTTCCATGCACCGCCAGGTTTGACAAGCCCGAATCCGGCACAGAACCCCGTGGCGCCGGTGGTCTCCGCAGGTGGGGCGGCTCCACCTCCTTTGGCACCCGCGGAGCTTGTGGATTCCGGGGCGCCTGTTGCTGCTCCTGCTGCCGATGGGGGCTTTGGACCCAGCCCAACCTTGAGCGACAGGGTGCGAAGAAGGCGGGCCCTGGAACCCTTCGGAGGAATCAGGCCTGGAGGAGAAAGCGGCGGCCGTGGCAATGCAGATCGCGGCTTGAGCCTGGAAGCTGCTCAAGCGGCGATCGCAGCAGGGCGACCGGTCCGTCTTGTGGAGGACGACAACGACGAGGAGCTGGCCGACAGTGGCGTGAGCGAGACTCTCGGCTAGCGGCTGCTCCCCCAGGAAGGGGATTTCCGTGGCACCTCCCTGACCTGCCCTTCCCCGGACTGCATTTGGGCATGCTAGTCTGCGGACGTGGCGGTGATGGCGGCGAACCACGGTTCTCCTATTCCTGGTTGGAGCAACCCGATGTTAGGGAAAGTTGCGTTGTACAGTGGGCTGTACAGTTTTTCTTCCCCCATGCCACGCCGTGTGCTGACCTTGGCTCTCCTCCATTCCAGGGCCTATACTATGGACTTCTGCCTGGCCACCTGTTACCTCCCTCCTTGGCTCCTCCCCTATCTGTGCTGAGGTCGCCGGCCTCCCCGCTGGATTTCTGCGGGTTATGCTTGAATCGCCCCCTGTGGCCTGGATTCCTATCCCCTCATCCTTTCAGCCTTTGCTATGGCTCTTGTGCAGGCTGCCTTTCCCGCTTCTGCCGTCGACCATTGTTGCCCTCTTCCTTCGGGCTTCCCACGAATGGGCTCTTGGGATCTTCTTTGTACCTCAACGGCTGTTCGCATGTGTGCAAGGGCGCTTTCTTTACGGATTGGGTTGCTGGAGTAAGGGGCCTAAGAGAGGTATCGGTGGCTCTGGGACCTCCTCCTTGCTCGCTTCCCTTTCCTGTTGCAAGGCTCCGGCAGGCAACTTCTGCCGGCTTCCCTTCAGTGAGCAATTCGGGGGTTCTTGAATTGACCTCGGATGGGTGGAGCCTGTCCTTAGTTCAAGTTCCAGTTCCTTTCGACAGCCACTGTCCCGCACCGAGCCTTGAGCGCTCGGACGACCGGCCCTTTTTCCACCGTCGGGCGCAATTTTCTTACTGCGGCAGGGGCCAAAGAGAGACATCGGTGGCTCTGGGGTCTCCTCCTGCCAGCAATTCACCCCAGAGCAGCCTTGCCGGTTGTTTTTCGCTCGTACTATGGGGAGGACACCTTGCTGCGGCCTTTCTGCTTACCCTGACTGCTTTGCACATGTTGGTCCTTTGGCGCCTTGTGCTTTCTGCGATACCTGGCGGGCGCTCCCCTTTGTTGAACCTGCTCAGTGTACCGTGCGCTGCCGTTCCGGCCGGTGTTGCTTTGTCTTGGGGGCCCCTTAGCGGCCCCGGCCTTGCAGACAGGACCGTGCAGCGGCAAATGCGTTCCAACCGCCGTCATGCTCTCAGGGTCCCATTTTGGGTTAGGCTTCTTCTTTGCCTAAGGGTTCTGCCTGTACAAGTCTGGGCTGTTCCACCCGAGCTCGCGTCAGCTCTAACCGAGGCGTACGCAACGCTAACACCAGACCCAGGGGAGCCAAATGTAGACAGCGGGGGAGCCATGGGCTCGAATCAGGAAGTAAGGAGCAGCACACCAAGCGCACACTTACCTGAGGCCTCTGGCCTAGATGAATTGCCACCCCCTAGAGACGATAGCCCTAAGCCCTCCTCCGAGTCCCAGGTCCGCTTGCCGCCGGACTCGATAACCTCTGAGTATCGGGCCTCAGTGGAAGCAGATATCGCCTCAAAGGGTGCCTCTTGCTGTCTTCAGGCGCAGCGCGGACTCTGTGTCCCCTCGCCCGGTGTCAAGGTTCCAGCACGCGTCACACTGTGCCCTCCTGGCCACAGGATTGTTACTACTGAGATCATCCTAGACCTCCCTGTCTCGCTGGAATCCTTTATCGATAGAGTGTACGAAGCCGCACCAGTTCCACTCGATGCCTGCTGGAATAAGCTCATTCCAGCCACACCGCAACTTGGGGACAGTGCAGCTACCCTGCTTGTCGTCCCCCATTGGTTTCAACGGGCAGGCCTCTCAGCTGTACTTTTCGATGTCAGGGCCATGACGGGAAAAGTTTTTGCTGATGTGCTGCCTCGCCAGACGAGCCTGGAAGCAATTCAACGGGTCGCTGGCCCTACTGTCATTGAGCCTTTCGAGGTTTTCCTTGCAGGGGGTTTGCAACCACTCCAAAAGGGTCAAATAGTGCACGTTGAGGAAGGCGATACGCTCTGCTTTGCGCCTCTGCGCCACTTACCCTTATGGGGCCCCTTGCTCTCTAGGTCGCTACAACGACCCACGCCATGGCTCAGCATCGATCCCATTCCTTCCACGGCCAGGGCCCTGTGCGTTCTCATCCTGCACGAGTCCGGCAAGTTCCTGTTCAGTGATTTCGTGCAGTGTGACTGGCAGAATGCACTACGTGTGACACATTTCGTGGGAGTTGAGATGTCTGAGTCTAGACTTGTTTCGGCTGCCGGTCTTGCCTCATATATCTACCACGGGACCCATGTGCGTGGGGTCATCGCGGTCTTGGGCCGCAGCACCACCCGAGACCAGCAGAACAGGCCATTACCGGCGGTTTTCTTTCTAGACGGCCGGCCAATTGGGCAAGACGTAAACTTCTGCGTCATGGATAGCTACTATGTCTCGCGTGAATTCCTGCGTGGGCGTGTGCAGTGTCGACCGCCGCCAGGCCACAGGCTCGCTGTCATGGGCGGGCAGCTGCGAGACAACGGATTCGAGTTTCATGGGGGTGAGGTTCTGACCTTGGCTTACCTGCCTGATGACGATGACCCCTTCGAAGCACTAGAGTCAGAACCGGACGGTTCAGATGACCCCTTTGATTCGCCTCATGGAGGCCCCTCAGACGACTCGACAAGATCACGATCACGACATCGCAGGACCTCCCCCTCCAGGGCCAGCGGGGACAGCTCCTACCAGAGTCACCTCCCTCCTACGGCCCCCTCCGACACCTGCAAAAACACCCTCTGCACTGTCAAAAATGCTCCTGCCCACCTGTCGGGTGTGGCTGGCGCACCGGTGCAGTCGGTGTTCTGTCTGCAAGACGAACCGCAGTTATTGGGGGTCTTCTTAGGGGGTTCTAAGTTGTGCACTTCCCTCGGCCCGCCAGCTTTCGTTGTCAAACTTGGCGCTACACCCTCTCTGCATGCCCTTGTCAGTGACAGCAGCCGCGGGGATGGGCCAACACGGCTGCCCGAGCTACGAGACATCAATGATCGTTCAACACGCTGGCAGCCGCCTGATTTGACGATTGCTGCCCCTGAGTTTATCGAAAATCCGCCTGCACTGGCCCCCCTGCGAGCCCTTTTTGTTGTCCTCTGTGAAGACTACCGGCCTGAGGTCATCCCGCTTACCTTCTGGCAACCGGTTGACTACTTCCTTGCCATTAGGGAAGTGCAGACATTACGCCTTCCAGATGTCAGGCGCCACTTCCCGCGTCTGCTCGCTATTGAGCCACAGCCCTGCACGCAATTTGCCGTTCTGCTCGGGTTCACAGGGCTGCCCGGCCCTTTCTGCGATATTGTCTTCGACTGCAGAGCTGTGGGAGGCTATGTATTCGCTGGGCATGCTGATTCTGAGGCACATCGAAGCGAGCTCTTGGCAATCGCTGGCTATGCCCACCGGTTTGATATAGACGTTTGGGTCCCATCTGTGCGCGGCCCTTTGCCAGATCACCAGCGCGCAGGGCTCTTTACTGGCTCTTTGGTCTCCCTGGCACCGCGCGGCATTGTCCCCCCACGTCTTGCACCTCTGGCCGATATGCTACGGAGACCCGACATGTGGAATGCCCGTGCTGAAGTCCCGTTTGCATCAGACCCTGGAGTTTGGTTGTTGACGGACGAGGGGCCCTCCTTCTATGCGATTCCCATAGGTGCCGCGCGCATTCCAAGGACCCAGCTTGCCGCCGCACTTAGATATGATAGAGCGCGCCTTTTCACTGTTCCGCCTAGCCCGCAGATACGGAACTTTTGCTCCAGGGGCACTGCTGCTTCCGCCGTTCTTGTGGTCTCTCAGAGGATCCTTCAGCCCCTTGATGCCGAGCCTAGCTCTTGTATCGTCATTGTGGATCTACGGCCACTGCAGCTGGGCCTCACCTGGGTGCTGGCGCCAAGAGGGCTCTTCTCCCTCGAAAATTTTGCGGAGGACCTTGTCCCAGAGGCTTTCAGCTGATCGCGGATGGTGCTCCGCGCATCTTTTCCAGGCCCGGATGTGTACTAAGAGTTGTCGATGGCTCCCGTGTCACCGTTGCCTGCGTGCCCATCCCGCCAGGGACCGCAACACAGGCACACAGGTTTGCGCATTCGGACAGGTCAGAGACCGACTGAGAAGAGTACTCCGATGGCATCTGGGAGAACAGCTCCGGCAGCAGCCAGGCAAGCCACAATGGGGGGGGCGAAAACCCGCCTGCTGGCCCTCCCCCACCTGGACCTCACGAGCCGCCCCATGACCCACTCGACGTGCTAACAGCCCTTGTGTTGTCCCCTGCACTTCGAGCTGCGTCCCCTTGTGGACTTCTGTGTGTCATGCTGTATGCTTCCCCTGTGCTGACTGCGAGTGTGGCTTTGCCCACCGATGATGCCACAGCCCGCGATGCCGGTCCATTGTTCCGTGCCGACACATGTGCCTGCTTGCTGCATCACTTCCTCGTCGCCAGCCTGCCTGTGATCCTTTATAAGCTCCTGTGTGAACCGTGTTGCGCAAGGCCATCGGTCGATTTGGCCCTTGCATCCTTGCGTACTGCAACCAGGAATCTTGGGGTCGCCTGGCCTTTCTTTCCGGCCAACTTGGCAGCCCTCTTCGAGCCAGACCTTGATGAGCCCAACGAGCACGACACGGCTAGACCTGTGCGAGTGTCTTTTGCGGTGCTTATTCCTAATTACCCGCCAGAGCTGGGACAGGTCGACCTTGAGCTACCTTGCACGCCAGATGAAGCAATTGAGGCTATTCAGGCTGCTCGCTCAACCGCGTCATATATCCGATTCCCTTTTCTCACCCCTGCATCACCACAGTCTGTGGTTGGACACGCAGTTGTCCTTGCAGCTCCGAGATGGGCGCCAATGATTATGACGGTCCTGATTAACACGTCCGGCATAGATGGTCGCATCTTTGCCTGCCATGCCCCTGACTACGCGGACTGCGAAGTCCTTATCGCACTAGCCGACTTGCCACCGCAAGGGGACTACCATATTTTTGCAGGTGACGATGACCAGCCCCTGGACGACGGTGCGCAGGCACATTTGTTTCCGGGCATTCAGATCTCTTTTACGTTTGCTGACCAGCAACCTGAAGTTGGGCTGCCTTTTGCCAGGACCCTGCTGTTGCCTGATGCCTGGGGCCATGACACGCCCTTCCCCCAAGTTGTCATTGACCATGCTTACTGTGTCGTGCACGAGAATCGGTTTGTTCTCCACATCGAGAACTACAGGAACCCCTTCCGTTTCAGGATTAACTTGGCACGCAGGATCGGTGTCGATGACAGGCGACTTAGTATTTGCCATGCACGCGGGGCTCCTGACAACATTGCGCGTTCGGTGTCGAACACTCCTAGCCGCCTGCTGCCACAGCCAAGAGAGCATCGGCCGTGAGCCTGAAGGTTTCTTTCTTGACTAATCCAGGAGGGCTTTGCCTTTATGCTTCTGCAGGGAGAAAGCCCCGATCTCAACAGTCTTGCCCGGATCTTCCAGACTGACGCGCCCCAGGGATGGATGCCCCGTTTTAGCAGCGAGCACCAGCCCGACGGCCGCCCAACTTTTGATGCAGGCTCTGTCATCATCGTTGACTACATGCCTGTACTTGCACCCGCTGAGGCACCCTCTCTTGCGCATGAGGGAACGCAGGGCAACCCTGCTGCCGCACATAACGGCGCGGCAGGATCACAGAACCCTGCTGGCGCGCCCGCTACTGCATCTGGGCAAGGGGCACAAGGGAACGATGGAGAGCCACCGCACAGCCCTGACGGTGAAGCCGCTGGCCGAGTACGCCCTGGCCGTTCTAATGCAACAGACACCCTTGTGCCTGGCGTCTTTTTAGTGCTTGCTCAGGACTATACTACTGAGCTCATTGAGGCCCGGGTACCTGTTGGGACCCAACCGTCCGTGGCGCTTCTTTATGTGTCCCAAGTACGTAACAATCGAGACCGCGAGAGATTCCCGATTTGGTGTGCCGTTGAGCCCCAACCGCTTGGAGCACAAGCCCTTCTTCTTGCATTGCTACTATGGGCACCTGACGGGGCTATAGCTGCCTTTGACCTTACAGGCGTTGACGGACGTTTGTTCGCACTCCAGATCGGGCGTCATGTCACGCGTGCTGGGCTCCTACAAGCTGCGGAGCTGCCTGACGACCCGCGCTTTGACGTGTTTGTCGGCACGATGCCATGGGCGATTCCGCCCACCACGCCTGTTGACATCAAACATGGCGACCTGGTTCAGATCACCTTTGCAGGCCGAGGCCCATCTGTCGTCTCTTCCTTTGCCGACATGTTGCGGTCTGAACGCGGTTGGAATCCGGACCTCACTTTCATCCGCGCTTTCTCAGGTTGGAATCTCGACGATGCCTGGGTCCTGAATGAGGACCGCCCTTTTCTGCTCCATGTATCGGCGGCAAGGCGAAGATATGTCCGCCAAGACCTGGCTCTCCGCCTTCGTATCCCGGTCGACGAGCTCATCCTTCGCCCTCCACAACCTCGCATCGTTGACTTCTCTCATTGCGGATGGGTGACCTGCAGTGTTTTGTATGCTGCCGGCACCGCCAATGGCCAGCATTATGCAGCAATTAGGGACCCTTTCTGCTTCATCGACCTGCGGCCTATCCTGAGAGGTCTCAGTGTTGTCACGTGTCATGGAGGGCGTCTTGACCTTCAAGGTCTCTACGCCCGAGCCAATGCCCGGTGCCCCCAAGGTTTCTGCACCCATATTTGGTACGGCCAGCAGGAGGTCGACCCGTCTAGGCTCGACATACAGGTTGAGGACGGCACTGTGCTCACTGCCGCCTTTTTGCCAGTTCAATATCCGAGTACAGCAGGGGCTCAGGGGCCCCCTGACGATGGTTTTGGCCCATCCCCCCAAGGCCCGCCTCCTGATCAGGGTCCAGACGGCGGTACCAGCGGTGATCCTGACCCCTTCCGGAAGCACCGCCCAGACCTGATGCCGGTACTGGTAGCTCATGCTCTTCTTCGCCAGCAGGCCCCCCCGCTCACTATCAAGTGGCGGTCAGCGGTGGCGCATGTACTGAGGATGCGCAGCTCGGAACTCTTGCCCGACAACAAAGAGGCCCTACGGCTCGGGGCAACATGTGGGAGTTTGCTTTCGCCAGTCAACATGTCCTTCTTGAGGACAAGCAAGCCCGCACCTCTGCTGCTCCGGCACCTCACTGGCACACCGGATTTGCCGTTTGCACGGGAGCTTCACCGTCCTCCATCCGTGCCTTGCGGGCCTTCTTATACGGGCCGTCTGTGCTGCTCTTTGCCTCCCGGTCGCCGGGTTTGCCCTTCGCCTAGTCGCCTGGGCTGCCCCCCTCGCAGCTCGGTGGCTACGGAAGCCGTTCATCGTATACTGCGTGTTTGTGCACTTTGCTATCTCTACTGAGGGGATGCAGCTTGCTGTTGCTAGGGATGCTTCCCCCTCTAGGGGGCAGTCCTTGCCCGACGGGCATCCTGTACTTTCGCACTGTGCCGACGGCCCTCCATCGAACAACAGACCTCTGCCCACACCACTGCGTTCCCTGCTTAAGACAGGAGGGCCCCTGCTTTCGCCCGGGGTCGGCCCCGTTCCCGGCGATCCTGGCTCCGTTGCAGGCCAACAGCAGCCTCCCGAGCAAGGTGACCATGTTGTGTTTGAGACGTTGCTCGAGGAGAGTAGCCGCGACAGCAATGGCTACCCTTTCTACCTTGCTGCCACTCTGCTTGAGACACTTGTCGACCACTTCGCCGACGGAGCTTTGATCTCTGCTGGCACGCACGCTAGCCCTGCTGCTGCACGACCCCTGGTGCTTTTGCTTGATTCTGTCGTGCCCTGCACGCCTTACAACATTCCTCCGGTCCCTCCCACGCCGCTCCAGCTTGGGACTTTGCTACGTCGGCTTCATGTGTCCCCCGAGCCTTTGTTGCTAGGGGGTACACCCTTGGGCTTTACCAGTGAGCAAATTTCATTGTTCCTACAGCCTGCTGTCTGCTTTGGTACTCTGAGCGATTTGCTCGCAGCTCTTCCGCCCCGGCGAGCGCATTCATTGCGCGCCTCTATGCCGGCCCCTGGCAATGAGCGAGGTTTGCTTTGCTACGTTATACGCCCGCCACTCACCCTGAAGGTGCCCTCCTTGGCTGGGCTTGTGTCTTCATTGATGTGGCTCTATTGTGCATCAGCATTGTGTCCGGGCCTGCCCCCCCTTGGTTCCTGGATCTCAGTGTTGCACCCTCTGCCTTTGTGGCCGAGTGCATGGCTCTAACAGCAGCAACTTGGGTAGGTTGCACAGCTTTCCATGGTCAGTCGATTCATTTTCTTTCCGACTGTCAGTCCGCCATTCGGGTCGCTGCAGGTGAGGTTTCTTCCTATACCAGTGAGGTCGCCCTTGTCCTTCGCAGGACAGCAGCCTGTTTTGAAGTCCTCCAGGGATCCCCCCTTGTATTCGACTATGTGCCAGGCCATCAGGGCCACTTTGGCAATGAAGTTGCTGATATTACAGCCAAGCTTGCCTCCAGGGGATGTACTGTGGGCCAGCTGGTATGGAAAGAAACCGGCGGCTCTCACCCCCTCGACTGGTGGTCAGCGGGGGCCCCGCGCGTTGAGTGGTGTGGCGTTGCGGCGAGAGCCCTTATTGGTGATACAGCCATGCCCCCCCTTGGTAGTGTTCCCGGTGACGTTAGGGATGACCTCGGCATGACGCCCCAACAAATGCTTGCCCCTTTCTGCCCGCAGAAGCCTGCGACCACCCCCGAAGGTGGTGCCGGTGATGGTGCCCTTGCTTTCAGCATCGCCACCTATAACGTGCTTTCCCTTAGCGGACGTGCTTTTGAGGATCGTGATCCGGCTGGACTTGCCTTTTCAGCAGGGCGCCCTGCCCTGTTAGCGGCCAGCCTGGATAAGGCGGATATCCAGGTTGCCGATTTTTGCGAACCTCGGGCTTCCTGCGTTTCTCCTCTGGCAGTGAAGTTGGTTGCTTTGGTGTCGAGCTCTGGTTTAAGGAGGGATTCCCCCTGCTTCGCAGTGGCGATGCTGGCCACCATGCCGCCACCTTCTGCCGAGAAGCATTCTCTACTGCCCATAGCGATAGTCGTCGCCTTATCCTTCACTTTCATAGTGGGTCACTGCGACTTTGCTTCGCGTCTGTACATGCCCCCCACCGAGGCACAGAGGCTGACAAGTTACATGAATGGTGGGAGCGTACGATCACTTTGCTGAAACATGCTGCTACCCGTGCCCCGCTAGTCTTGGGGGGCGACTTCAATGCTGCCGTGGGCTCCCAGTGCTGCAGCAGGATCGGGGACTGCTGGCCTGAGGAACAAGATGTTGCTGGCGCCTTCCTTGCCGAGCTTGTCACAACCTGTCAATGCTGGTTGCCCTCAACTTGGGGCCACCTCCACTCGGGCCAATCATGGACCTATGTGCAAAAGCGAAATAATGCACTCCAGCGCCCTGATTTTGTCTGCCTGCCCGATTGTTGGGAGAGTGCTCGCGTCTTGTCATGGGTTGACCCTGAGATTCATGTTGGGCAGCCTTATATTGACCACTTTGCGGCAGTTGTTCGTGTAGCCGCCAGGCTCCGACTCGCTGGTGGCGGCTTAGGCACTAGGAAGCCAGCTCGCATCGATGCACATGCGCTAGTCGATCGCAGCAACCGCCCTAAGCTACAGGCTATTGTGGATAAGGCCCCTCGTGCCCCTTGGAATGCGTCTGCTGATGCCCATGCGGCACAGCTTGTGGGATACCTCCAGGGGGCTCTAGCTGAGGCTTTTCCTAAGCCTAAGCAACGAAAGCGAAGAGACTACCTCACTGATGACACATGGGCACTCTATGCGCAGGTCGCTGCTTTGCGCCACCGATGTGCCCGGTTACGGGCATACACGCAGTACCATCTCCTTGCTGCGGCCTTCCGTGCCTGGTCGACCCGTGGCGCCGAGGCTTTTGAAAATGCCCTTGCCTCGCCTTGGGCCCTCGACGCCTCCGTTCAAGGCCAGCGGCACAGGGATGCCCTTAGGGGCTTGTCTAAGCAGCTTAAGCATGCCTGCCGAACTGACAGGGCGCGACATTTGTCTAGCCTTGCTGACGAGGTGCAGGCCAACACCCCGGGATCCTTTCAGGCTTTAAACAGGCTTCTAAGTCTCAAGCAAAAGAAACCTTTCGCACCCGAAGTGCTGCCGGAAGTCCTCGACGCTGACGGCCGGGTCTGTGAAACCCCTGCCGAGGCCACGAAGCGGTGGCGAACTTACTTCGGCGACATGGAGTCCGGTGTGCAGAAGGATGCCGATGGTGTCTATCAGGTGGTGGCTGCCCGTCAAGGTCTGGCCTGGCCCCTGCCCGAAGATGTCACCGAGATACCCGGGCCCGCTGAGTTGCGCAAGGCCATGGCGCACACGCAGCTCAATAAGGCCAGCGGCCCAGACGGCATTCCTGGGGAAGCCTTTAAAGCCATGCCTGCCGCCCTTTCCTCCCTGGTCCTGCCCCTTGTGCTGAAGCTAGGCCTCTCGGGCGAAGAGGCTGCCGGGTTGAAAGGAGCCCTCCTTACCTGGCTCTACAAGTTCAAGGGTGCGAGAAACCTTTGCACTTCGTACAGAGCAATTATGCTTCTGCCGACTCTAACAAAAGTCATCCACCGCTCGTTTCGCCCACGCCTGTACAAGCATGTTGTAACGCACGCCCCCCCCCTGCTGTTGGGAGGGCGCAAAGGGGCGTCAGCGGTTTTTGGGAGTCATCTAACCAGAGCCTTCGCGCAGTGCCTCCGCATATTATAATTCCGTCCGTGATCTCACAGCCCAGCGCTTGGATGTTGATGGACGCCCTGTTGATTCTCTTGCCATTGCGAATCTTCCTGCTGACGACAACGTTGCAGACACGTTGGCCTCAGGCAGTGCTTTTCGCTCCAAAGGGGCCTCTCCTTGGCTCGAATCATTAGCCGCGGAAATGCATCGTGGGTCTTGGTTTGCGTTACGAGGAGTCTACATTCCTGTGGTCACCCACCGTGGCTCGAGGCCCGGATCATCACTCGCAGACATCATGTATAGCGCCGGAGTCGGTTGCATCATTGCAAAGAGAGACTCCCTTCGTACTGCTGATCCCAATGCTGGCCGGGTTCCTTGTATCCCGTGGGACGGCAGACGGGATGTTTCTCCCGCTGGTGCTCCTACACAATGGCCAAGCCTGAGCGATGTCATTTGGGCGGACGACCTTGCCGCTTGCTTTCTGCTGTCTGACTCTGCCCGTGCCGCACACCAGGTCGGTCTGGAGGCTTCATTTCTGGACGAGGCCTTTGGTTGCCATGGGTATACGCTCACCTACGGCGCCTCCAAAACCGCTGCTATGGTCCTCCTGGGGGGCCGTGGGTCCAAGGCTGCCAAGCGAGCCCTCTTCAGCCGTGCTGGGGCAGTCACGGTTCTTAGGGAGCACCACCCTGCTGCACCGCTTCCCCTGGTGGCGCAATATAAGCACCTTGGTGTTATGGTTGGCACTTCGTTCCTTACCGAGCTCCGCGCCAGGTGTGCCTCGGCCTGGGCGGCTTTCCGGCAAGGCCGGGTACGTGCTTACCGGTGCCGACGTATTTCTGTGGCCCGCAGAGGTGCACTGCTACGTGCTATGGTGCTCCCAAGGCTTCTCTTCGGGGCTGGTGCCTGGCCCTCCCTTCGCCAAGGGGAGCACGCACTGCTCCACAGAACTCTCGTTTCTATGTACCGGCAGACCCTTTGCATCCCCCGGACTGAAGATCAACACATCACGGGGGCCACAATGTGCGCGCTCCTCCACCTGCCCGACCCGGCCACAGTGCTTCGCGTGGAGCGCCTACGGTACCTGCGTCAGTTAGTCCAGGCTGCGCCCGATGCTCTGTGGGCCCTTGTTCGATCCAGCCCCTCTTTTCTTGCTGTTGTCAGGGATGCTATGGCGTGGCTGCACCGGCGGCTGTCAGCCACGATCCCCCTCGGGGACCCTGCCTGTGAATGGCACGCTTGGGCTGATACTATGTGCCGTGCTCCCGGGCGTTTCCGTGGTTGGATTAAGCGGGCCGCTGCGCTTGAGATGCTCCGCCTTACCTCCCATGCCGCCCTTCAGGCTTGCCACCGCTTCCTCTCCCATTTCTGTCCCGGGGCAGGCGATGCCTCCTACTCGGAGAGGAAGCGCCCTACCGAAGCTTGCATACCGTGCCGCAAAGCTTTTGCTGATCGTGTTTCCTGGGCTTGTCATGCCAGCAAGGTGCACGGGTATCGTACTCGTGCCACCGAGACGACCCGTGGATGTCAGCAGGCCTGGTGCAGCGGCTGTGGCAAGCTTTTTGCCAATGCCAATCGCATGAAGCGGCACGTTTTCGTCACTCCTGCGTGCCAGGCTGCCTGGGGATCCTTTTTGCCAGAGGAGGGTGTTTCTCTGTCGCCGCTACACCCCGCTGCCCCGCCCCTCAGGCTCCCAGGTCGACTTGCTCCACTGGATTTGCGAGCTGATGCTGAGGAGCCTGGCTGCCACCCTGGACTTCTGGCTGCACTTCTTGGGTTGGATGCAGACGATGAATCAGCTGCTTGGGAGGTAGTTGCTGATTTCATCGCCCCCCTTGAGCACCTTCGCTGTACTGTTCGAGCCTGGTGCGCCCATGCCAGGGCACAGCCTTTCGCCCCTGAGGTTGCTACCAACCTTCTCTTACTTCTCGACCCTGATCTGTGCTGTGACTCTTTTCC